ACCGTCAATACTTAGGGGTTGTTATAATTTATTTATTTGATTTATTTATATATATAAATATACGAGAAGGTACATTGGGTTTATGAGAGTACATAGCACTGATGTTTTTACATTCTTGCAAAGACACTAACATGCATAGCGTTTTGGGCAGGTCCTTCATCTAACAGATAATTTTAAGTAGGTAATTTGTAGCAAAATTTGAAGAATATTAACAGGTATATTGTAAGAAAATTTGAAGAAATTTAATAAGTACATTGTAGTAAAATTTAAGGATTATCAACAGGTACATTGTATCATAATTTGAGGATTATTAATAAGTACATTGTAGTAAAATATGAGTTCAACATAACAACCCTGATATAAGTTGATAGCAGTGATTACAATGGTGAAGTTGCTTATCTTAGTCACATATGTTGGGGGAGTGAGAAGCACAAGATACAATGAAAGTTTGAAGCACTAGGTAGGAAACTATGAGGATGAAATTAGATACTTTTTGGTTTTATGTTTGAATAAGGTATCAGCTTTTTAATTCGTTATCGAGTGAGTTCCATAGACAAGGTCTCTTCATTTGCATAAAGTGTTTACACAGATTTAGTTTGACTCCGGGATATCAAAGATATATTTATTTCTGGTGTGGTGATTATGGGTTCTATTAAATCTGTCAAGGAAAAGTTTCTGATCAGGATTTATCATTTATCATAAAAGGATTCTGATCAGTATCTAGGAACAAAGTTTTGTACATGTAAATGGCACAAGAGAATGTGTGGAGTGAGTTTATGTTTAGCATGTCTAGGGATTTAAACAGAGGGGCTGTGTGTTGTCTGAAAACAGAGTTAGTTATTGTTCTGATAGCAGATTTTTGCTGGGTGATGATGGGCTTTAGGTAGTTTGCAGTTGTTAAATCCCATGCACAGATACCGTATGTAAGATAGGGATAGATTAGTGAGTAGTATAATAAGAGGAGAGCAGCGTTTGGAATATGATATCTGATGTTAGAAAGTATACCGACCGTTTTTGAGACTTTTTTTTTTTGGGTTATGTGTTGTATGTGGGTGCTGAAGTTGAGTCTCTTGTCTATGTATTGGCCAAGTAACTTTCCATCATTTATATTACTGATGTTAAATTGTCTATCTGAAGCTGAATTTCATTTGATGATTTGCTTCCAAATAAAATGTAGTTGGTCTTTTTTATGTATAGTGTGAGTTTGTTGGTTGATATTCATCAGTGGACTTTTTAATTTCGTTATTGTTACGGTATCGACACCATCGTCGGAGTGTGGAGTGGCAATTTCAGCTCCATCTATGGGTCTGCACTCCAACTCCCCTAGTATGTAGGGGAGTTGGCAGGCGTTATGTAGGCAACACCATCTATTGGTGGTGGCGTGGTATCGGTGGAAGGCTCCAGTTTCCTGCGTCAGTCAGAAAGAGAGGTTGATGTGGATGGCCTCTGGTGGGTGGAGTATCGAGATCAGGGCCATCTAGGTTGTGGCTACAAGGCACAATGTCAATTCCCTGGTGAGTGGGTGTTATCCTAGAGTCACCCAGTGTACTGTCTATCTAAGTAATGACGTTTTATGTTCACAGAGGTGACGTAAGCAGCCGATTGCACCGAGGAAGGCAGATACCTTGGGTAGTCGAACTCTTGACCTGGTCCTGGGATGAGAACTAAGTGGTCGTCGTCAGTCAAGAGCAGTGTTCTTACTGCTGATGTGTGCAGTGTTGTTTGGACCGACGTAGCCAAGATTGGCCAGGAAGAGTTACACGATGACAGTGGTGCATCTGTCGTGAAGTGCTGCTAGCAAGACGCTAGAGACGTCTGCCAGGGTGTTAGCAACCTCTGTATTTGTTTGCTTGAGACCCCTATCAGGGTGTTGTTGAACCCTCTGCCAGTGTGTGTATCCGGAGAGCGGAAGTGGGGGTATTGGTACATCGTGTATGAAAATACAGTGTGTGTGGACTGGCCCATGGGGAAGGTGAACTCGCCGGTGTTTGCCGATAGGTGTGTATGACGCGTACCTGGGAACTGGAGTCACCGGAATTGATGAACACTGAAAATGTGTCTTGTGTGAAATAAGCACTTTGTACATACGTATAGTAATAGTGTAATATAATATATTAATATATATAGTGGTGGTGAATATATTGAAGGGAATTGTGCATGGCTTATCCCTGCCCCCCCCCCTTATTACTTATTTACAACATTATTTAGTGTGGGTTGGGGGTCTGAGTAGATAGATGTAGGTAGTATCGTCAGCAAATAGAATAGATTTAAGAATGTTAGAGATATTAGGCAGATCATTGATGTATATAAGAAATGCGGGAGGTTCTAGGATGCTGCCCTGTGGTACTCCTGCAGATAATGATAGAGTGGGAGAGGCTATGTCATTGATGGCTACATATTGATGTCTGTCACCAAGATAGGATTGAATTTAGTTCAGGGGCCAGGCTTCGGATTCAATAATGGTGAAGTTTAAGTGAGATGTAGTTATGGTTTACGGTATATGAGTTGTTGTTGGCTGATGCGGAGTAAATAAGGCACTTGGAGGGAAGATGCTCACCATTACCATCATCGTCACTCTCACCATCATCAATATCACCTTTATCATCGATATTACTATAACCATCATCTGTCACCATCTCTCCATTATCTTTATTATTACCATCACCACCATCATCTCTATTACTATTAGCCTCGTCATCATCTTCATTATCATCATCACCATCAGCATAATCACTACTATTCCCATTAAGATCATTATCACTATTATCAGTCATCAACATCACTATCGCCTTTGCCATCAACACCACCATTTCGACTACCTCCCATCATTATCACCAACATCATAACATCATCACTAACAATGTCATCACTATCTTCATCAGAATCACAATTACTTTCAACATTATAACAAACCCAATCTCATCATCATCGAATTTACCATTACCACCATCATAATTACCATCACTAGCATCATCATCATCACTATCATCGCCTTCACCTTCGCTGAAGGACTTAAGATTCAAGCAGCTACCAGCTCAAGACGTTCCTCTCGTGTGAGGAAGTATACACCAATGCTCCACGACTCAAAGCGTATGTTTGTAAGGGAGCATTGCCGCCTTCACCCCTGCCGTTCACAGGTAAACACTATTGTTGACAGTGGCCAGGGGCCAGATTCACGAAAGTACTGACGCAAGCACTTACGAACCTGTACATCTTTTCTCAATCTTTGGCGGCTTTGTTTCCAATTATTGAACAGTTAATGAGCTCCGAAGCACCAGGAGGCTGTTTATAACAATAACAACAGTTGATTGTGAAGTTTTCACGCTTGTAAACTGTTTAATAAATGTAACCAAAGCCGTCAAAGATTGAGGAAAGATGTACACATTCGTAAGTATTTGCGTAAGTGCTTTCGTGAATCTGGCCCCAGGCTGGGTGGTACTGGGGCGCGCGCGGATAGGTCGGCGAGCCACACTGTCGTTACTGCACCTGGTAACCTTTACCCCCCCGTCACTAATAATTTTTGGAAGTTTAGGACCTGACTTGGTCACTTACAGTCTTGCCCTGAAGGGTGAGGGGAAGCCCTACATGCAGAGCGATAAAGGAGCTTCTTAGAAGGGAAATGTAGGCCAACCAGGTGGGTGTACGTATTTGGTGTCTCTGAGTTTATATGTGGAAATCATTTTACGACCTCCGTTGGCGGGAAGTGAATAACTCCAGACACAGGTGTGACTCGGGCATTAGGTAGGGCAATGTACCCATCCTGTCCTCTTATAAAGAACGTTGCATTGTGATCGTATGCGTTACATAAGGCTAAAAATTGTCGTACTTGAACATGGAAGCAGGTCGCGAAAGTGACGTACTGTCCCGTTTTCTGTTTTGGGTCCTCTTAGGTTAGGAGAGACCACTTTAAATTGACCGTTTTCTTGACGTTGGGAGCCTTAGGAGGACGGGCTGATGTAACAGGCCTCACTACACTGAGTCACATTGAAGAAGTCAGAAAGAAATAGAACACGGAAGCATATCTCGGGTAGATTACGAGGGACAATGCTAGCTCGTAAGACAGGCACAGAAGAAAACTGCCATCAAGGCAGCACCAAGTCCTCCTACCAGCAAAACACCAGACTTTATCGAACTAGAGAGGACAACACCAGTCAATGTCAAAGACAATGTTCCTATTTTTTATTATTATTTATATATACACGAGTTCTTACATTCTTGTACAGCCACTAGCACGTATAGAGTTTCGGGCAGGTCCTTAATCCTAATTTTCCCGGAATACAACCCCGTCAAATCGTTAAACAACCCAGGTATCCGTTCACTACTGGGTGATCAGAGGATACAGTTAAGGATTGGCGCCAAGTAAATCCTCGCCGTTCAGGATACAAACCCAGTCCAAAGCGCTCGCGAAACGCTAGGCAAGTATGTTACAACTTCGTCACGGGGACTGCTAAAAATTCCTGTCCAAAATCCAGCCACAGGACAGTATGGAACAGAAGAGGACAGCATATGTCACACACCAGCCAGTGACAGACACTGCATGTCTTCAAAAGTTCAAGATAGTGTAGACAGACGATTTCCCAACGGCTTATGTAGTAACAACAATAGAAATGAAGCACCTAGAACTGAAATTTTTTATCAAAGATGACCTAAAGGAGAAATTATAATAACACCAACAAGAGACTGCAGATCTCACGGAAACAATAACCGTCCCGCAAGGAAAACTGATATCCATGGAAAAGCCGAGTCCATGAGACGGACACAAACGAGTTATTCTGGTAGGATACCCAGTCGACTTCCCAGTAGGTCCAGTACTGGAGAATGAGCTAACCTTAAATGCGGAGCAACGCTGCCACAAAAAAATCTCCGCAATTGGCTTGTTGAGTTTGAAGCTGGATGTCCCTTGTGTGTGTTACATTTGACCACTTCTTTAAATGGTGAGTCAAGATGAACATAATGTAACAACACATAAGAGTTCAACATCCACCAGCAACAACTAAGTGATGGTCATTCAGATGTACAAATTTGAACAACGCAAGAGAGCGAACGCTAGTCGCATCAAACTGTCACGATGCGACACTAATTGTCAAGTGGAGAATATAGGGGTCGATTTCGAAGAAGAATTATACAAGTACATCGAACAGCAACGGAGTGGAACGTACTGTGTGGAACGTACAAAGTCTTGGAAAGAAAAACCACATTCCACAGGAAGCTGCGTTCAGTAGAAAAGCAGATATCGTCGTTTTTGAGCAACCCAAGCCCAAAATCCTTCAGATCAGTTGGATATCTACAATACATTATACCTTATGAACAGGGTATCTCATTACCGTATCACAGAGGATTATTGATCCTCGCCAGAAACACCACACATAGTAAGAAAATACTTAGATTTGTAGGGGGGGATGAAGTAGTAAATATTGTTTACACTCAGCTCCTTACACTTACACTCGGCTCCTTACACTTACACTCAGCTCCTTACATTAACACTCGGCTCCTTACACTTACCTCCTTACACTTACACTCGGCTCCTTACACTCGGCTCATTACACTTACACTCAGCTCCTAATATTCAATGTTTACAAGCCCCCTCGACGCAACCCAGAAACAATGCTTCTAGGTTTACAATTACACACGAAAATGTAATAATTACCAACGATAAAACGTCAGGGGCAAAGTATGACTGGACCGACCAGTGTTTATGGGCGTTACTTAGTGGAAGTTCACAAAGAAATTCCTGATTACACTTCTTAAGGGACCCACACATACACGTGCAAGGAGCTTCCCTTCACCTAACCTTATTATTAACTACCCTCAAACATCAAGCTGTAGAACTACGGGCTCACCATAGCCCGTGCTACCTGGAACTTTTTGTTCCAGGTAGCGAATCTTAAACAACATCCAGCTGTAACACTAAATATAGAACTATCACCTGGAACATTGTGCACAGCCAAGGCCAACTGAAATATATACCTAAAGAACGTTGTTGTTGTTGTTGTTTTCAGATTTAGCTACTCAGAACGAAGTGTCCATGTAGCACAGGCTATGGTGAGCCCGTAACCTAGAGAACCTTGCAACATGGCTCGTTACACGGACATCAGTACTTGAACATATATTAGACTAATCTCCTGGAATCCTGCCCCAAACACAGCCGTAACAGTCATCAAAACTAAAGAATTATTATTAGTATCGCAGTGGAGATAAGGAGCAAAACTCAGAGGCATTATCACCAGAAGGATTAACTCTGCTAAAAGCGATTTTAACTGAAGAAAGACGAGTTACTAGAGAAGTGAGGAATGCAAAATAGTTTCAGTTGTGCCAAATTCTGAACGAACATTTGCCAAGATATCGAACCAGATTATAACCATACCGGGTACACCAGCCTTACAGCACTGCCCTCGACAATTACACTAAGCTTATTTGCATAAAGAGCGGGATCATATAACTTCCTGTAGCCGGGTAGAAAGCAACAAGAACACTTGCAACAGGAGGGGTTATCAGCCCTTCACAAGAACACTTGCAACAGGAGGGGTTATCAGCCCTTCACAAGAACGCAGCTATATGCTACGCAGACGACTGTGCAGTGACAATAATATGGCGGTAAGGACACTGCACCAAGGGAGGGGGGGCCAATGAAATCACACATTTCATGATCATCCAATCAGGACCAGCTGGAGAACAAGGAGTATTGAACGTCATAAATGCATCTTGGGATCGAGGCAAACTATCGACCTCTTGGAAGGTATCTGACGTAGTTCCGATTCTTTACCGAAACTCCCTGACAATTATAGACTCGTCTCATTAACTTCGTACATTAGAAAAACTGCAGGAAGGTTGGTTGTAAATAGGCAACTGTAGAAGCCGAGCAGAAACCTGCAGCAGCACTTGGCTTCACCAGAAGACGACGGACTGCCAACTGAACACCGACATTACTAACAACAGATAACTCACGCTCGGCCATAATCACCTTTCTCGATAAAAAACTTTATACATGCTGATCAACAATTATGATGGAGTAAAACTGCTGACTTAAAATCAAGACTACATAAGTCATAGGCATGTCAGAGTAGAACTGAAGACCACGTGTCAGACTGACAACTGCAGGACCACGTGTCAGACTGACAACTGCAGGACCACGTGTCAGACTGACAACTGCAGGACCACGTGTCAGACTGACAACTGCAGGACCACGTGTCAGACTGACAACTGCAGGACGCCGTGTCAGACTGACTACTGCAGGACCACGTGTTAGACTGACAACTGCAGGACCACGTGTTAGACTGACTACTGCAGGACCACGTGTTAGACTGACTACTGCAGGACCACGATCCAGACTGACTACTGCAGGACCACGTGTCAGACTGACAACTGCAGGACCACGTGTCAGACTGACAACTGCAGGACCACGTGTCAGACTGACTACTGCAGGACCACGTGTCAGACTGACTACTGCAGGACCACGTGTCAGACTGACTACTGCAGGACCACGTGTCAGACTGACAACTGCAGGACCACGTGTCAGACTGACTACTGCAGGACCACGTGTCAGACTGACAACTGCAGGACCACGTGTCAGACTGACTACTGCAGGACCACGTGTCAGACTGACAACTGCAGGACCACGTGTCAGACTGACAACTGCAGGACCACGTGTCAGACTGACTACTGCAGGACCACGTGTCAGACTGACAACTGCAGGACACCGTGTCAGACTGTCAACTGCAGGACCACGTGTCAGACTGACAACTGCAGGACCACGTGTCAGACTGACAACTGCAGGACACCGTGTCAGACTGACAACTGCAGGACCACGTGTCAGACTGACTACTGCAGGACCACGTGTCAGACTGACAACTGCAGGACCACGTGTCAGACTGACAACTGCAGGACCACGTGTCAGACTGACTACTGCAGGACCACGTGAAAGACTGACAACTGCAGGACCACGTGTCAGACTGACTACTGCAGGACCACGTGTCAGACTGACTACTGCAGGACCACGTGTCAGACTGACTACTGCAGGACCACGTGTCAGACTGACTACTGCAGGACACCGTGTCAGACTGACATCTGCAGGACCACGTGTCAGACTGACAACTGCAGGACCACGTGTCAGACTGACTACTGCAGGACCACGTGTCAGACTGACTACTGCAGGACCACGTGTCAGACTGACTACTGCAGGACACCGTGTCAGACTGACATCTGCAGGACCACGTGTCAGACTGACAACTGCAGGACCACGTGTCAGACTGACAACTGCAGGACCACGTGTCAGACTGACTACTGCAGGACCACGTGTCAGACTGACTACTGCAGGACACCGTGTCAGACTGACATCTGCAGGACCACGTGTCAGACTGACAACTGCAGGACCACGTGTCAGACTGACAACTGCAGGACACCGTGTCAGACTGTCAACTGCAGGACCACGTGTCAGACTGACTACTGCAGGACCACGTGTCAGACTGACAACTGCAGGACCACGTGTCAGACTGACAACTGCAGGACCACGTGTCAGACTGACAACTGCAGGACCACGTGTCAGACTGACTACTGCAGGACCACGTGTCAGACTGACAACTGCAGGACCACGTGTCAGACTGACAACTGCAGGACACCGTGTCAGACTGTCAACTGCAGGACCACGTGTCAGACTGACTACTGCAGGACCACGTGTCAGACTGACAACTGCAGGACCACGTGTCAGACTGACAACTGCAGGACCACGTGTCAGACTGACTACTGCAGGACCACGTGTCAGACTGACAACTGCAGGACCACGTGTCAGACTGACTACTGCAGGACCACGTGTCAGACTGACTACTGCAGGACCACGTGTCAGACTGTCAACTGCAGGACCACGTGTCAGACTGTCAACTGCAGGACCACGTGTCAGACTGTCAACTGCAGGACCACGTGTCAGACTGTCAACTGCAGGACCACGTGTCAGACTGTCAACTGCAGGACCACGTGTCAGACTGTCAACTGCAGGACCACGTGTCAGACTGTCAACTGCAGGACCACGTGTCAGACTGTCAACTGCAGGACCACGTGTCAGACTGTCAACTGCAGGACCACGTGTCAGACTGTCAACTCCAGGACCACGTGTCAGACTGTCAACTGCAGGACCACGTGTCAGACTGACAACTCCAGGACCACGTGTCAGACTGTCAACTACAGGACACCGTGTCAGACTGTCAACTCCAGGACCACGTGTCAGACTGACAACTCCAGGACCACGTGTCAGACTGTCAACTCCAGGACCACGTGTCAGACTGTCAACTCCAGGACCACGTGTCAGACTGACAACTCCAGGACCACGTGTCAGACTGTCAACTACAGGACACCGTGTCAGACTGTCAACTCCAGGACCACGTGTCAGACATCACTCATCACACAACATCACTGCTCGTGCACCATCACCATATCTCACCAAACACCATCCACACACCACCACCCACCACCACCTCACCGCACACTCATCATCTCACAACACACTCATCACCTCACCACACAACACCGCCTCATCACACACTCACCGCCTCACCACACGCCACCATCTCACCACACACAGTACCTTTGCCTTTGACACAGTACCTCTCAAAACGCTGTTACAAAAGTTTGAGCATCAGGCAGGAGTAAAAGGTAAGGTGCTCCAGTGGATAAGGGAGTACTTAAGCAACAGGAAACAACGAGTAACGAAAAAAAAACACAGGCACCGCTCATGTGCTAGGTAAGTTTACTACCGGCTCACCATGGCCCGTGCTACTTGCTCCGCTCCTGTTCCAGGTAAGTTACGGGCTCACTATAGCCCGTGCTACTTGCTCCGCTCCTGTTCCAGGTAAGTTACGGGCTCACTATAGCCCGTGCTACTTGCTCCGCTCCTGTTCCAGGTAAGTTACGGGCTCACCATAGCCCGTGCTACTTGCTCCGCTCCTGTTCCAGGTAAGTTTCGGGCTCACTATAGCCCGTGCTACTTGCTCCGCTCCTGTTCCAGGTAAGTTACGGGCTCACTATAGCCCGTGCTACTTGCTCCGCTCCTGTTCCAGGTAAGTTACCGGCTCACCATAGCCCGCGCTACTTGGAACTTGTTCCGAGTAGCTGAATCTATAACAACAACAGCGAGTAACGGTGAGCGGGGAGGCATCAGAGTGGCGAGATGACACCAGCGGAGTCCCACAGGGCTCTGTACTTGGACCCATCCTGTTTCCAATATATGTAAACGATCTTCCAGAAGGTATAGACTCGTTCCTCTCAATGTTTGCTGATGATGCAAAAATTATGAGAAGAATCAAGACGGATGAAGATAGACAGAGACTACAGGATGACCTGGACAAACTGGTGGAATGGTCAAGAAAATGGCTGCTAAAGTTCAACTCAGGAAAGTGTAAGGTAATGAAATTTGGCGAAGGGAGCAGAAGGCTGAACACAAGGCATCATCTGGGAGGTGAAATCCTGCAAGAGTCAAATAGAGAGAAAGATCTGGGAGATGATATCAAACCGAACCTGTCCCCAGAGATCCACATCAAAAGAATATCATCAGCGGCATATGCAAGACTGGCCAACATAAGAACTGCCTTTAGAAACTTGTGTAAGGAATCGTTCAGGACCCTGTATACCACTTATGTAAGACCAATCCTGGAGTATGCAGCTCCAGTCTGGAGTCCATACCTAGTTAAACACAAGACAAAGTTAGAGAAGATTTAGCGTCCATCTAGCGTCCATTTTAGCATCCATTTAGCATCATCTAGCGTCCATCTAGCGTCCAAGATTTAGCATCAGGCTCGTCCCGGAACTGAGAGGAATGAGCTACGAGGAAAGGCTAAAGGAGCTGAACCTCACATCCCTGGAAGTCAGAAGAGTAAGGGGAGACATGATAGCCACCTACAAAATTCTCAGGGAAATTCAAAGGGTGGACAAAGACAAACTCTTCAGCACGGGTGGGACACGAACAAGGGGACACAGGTGGAAACTTAGTACCCAGATGAGCCACAGAGACGTTAGAAAGAATTTTTTCAGTGTCAGAGTAGTTAATAAATGGAATGCACTAGGAAGTGATGTGGTGGAGGCTGACTCCATACACAGTTTCAAATGTAGATATGATAGAGCCCAGTAGGCTCAGGAATCTGTACACCAGTTGATTGACAGTTGAGAGGCGGGATCAAAGAGCCAGAGCTCAACCCCTGCAAGCACAATTAATTGATTACAATTAGGTGAGTACACACCACCACCTTACCACACAAGAAATATGGAATATGGAAGACGGCGAATGTGGTCCCAATATACAAAAAGGGCGACAGACAAGAGGCACTGAACTACAGGCCAGTATCCTTGACATGTATACCATGCAAGGTGATGGAGAAGATCGTGAGAAAAAACCTGGTAACACATCTGGAGAGAAGGGACTTCGTGACAAATCGACAACATGGATTCAGGGAGGGTAAATCTTGCCTGACTGGCTTAATAGAATTCTAGGACAAGGTGACAAAGATTAAGCTAGAAAGAGAAGGCTGGGCGGACGGCATTTTCTTGGATTGTCGGAAAGCCTTTGACACAGTACCGCATAAGAGGCTGGTACATAAGCTGGAGAAACAGACAGGTGTAGCTGGTAAGGTGCTCCAGTGGATATGGGAGTACCTAAGCAATAGGAAGCAGAGAGTTACGGTGAGGGGTTAGACCTCCGATTGGCGTGAAGTCACCAGTGGAGTCCACAGGGCTCTGTACTCGGTCCTATCTTGTTTCTGATATATGTAAATGATCTCCCGGAGGGTATAGATTCATTTCTCTCAATGTTTGCGGACGATGCCAAAATTATGAGAAGCATTAAGACAGAGGAGGACTACTTGAGGCTTCAAGAAGATCTAGACAAGCTGAAGAAATGGTCGTACAAATGGTTGTTAGAGTTTAACCCAAGCAAATGTAATGTAATGAAGATAGGCGTAGGGAGCAGGAGGCCAGATACTAGGTATCATCTGGGAGATAAAATTCTTCATGAGTCAGGGAAAGAAAAAGACTTGGGGGTTTATATTACGCCAGACCTGTCCCCTGCAACCCATATCAAGAGGATAACATCAGCGGCATATGCCAGGCTGGCCAACATAAGAACGGCATTCAGAAACTTGTGTAGGGACTCATTCAGAACTTTGTATACCACATATCAGGCCAATTCTGGAGTATGCAGCCCCAGCATGGAGTCCATATCTAGTCAAGGATAAGACCAAATTGGAAAAGGTTCAAAGGTTTGCCACCAGACTAGTACCCGAGCTGAGAGGTATGAGCTACGAGGAGAGACTACGGGAATTAAACCTCACTTCGCTGGAAGACAGAAGAGTTAGGGGGGACATGATTACCACATTCAATATTCTCAAGAGAATTGATAGGGTAGATAAAGACAGGCTATTTAACACAAGGGGCACACGCACTAGGGGATACAGGTGGAAACTGAGTGCCCAAATGAGCCACAGAGATATTAGAAAGAACTTTTTTAGTGTCAGAGTGGTTGACAAATGGAATGCATTAGGAAGTGATGTGGTGGAGGCTGACTCCATACACAGTTTCAAGTGTAGATATGATAGAGCCCGATAGGCTCAGGAACCTGTATACCTGTTGATTGACGGTTGAGAGGCGGGACCAAAGAGCCAGAGCTTAACCCCCGAGAGCACAATTAGGTGAGTACAATTAGGTGAGTACACACCTCCACACACACTCCACCTCACCACACACCACCATACACTCACCACACACTCACCACACACTCACCACACACTCACCACACACTCACCACATCACCACACACTCACCACACACTCACCACACACTCAACACACACCACACACTCACACACCACACACTCACCACACACTCACCACACATTCACCACACACCACCACCTCACCACTACGCACCACCACATCACCACACAGCACCGCCTCACCACATACCACACACTCACCACACATTCACCACACACCACCACCTCACCACTACGCACCACCACATCACCACACACTCGCCACACACCACACACTCGCCACACACTCACCACATCACCACACATTCACCACACACTCACCAAGCATGCGAACCACTGACTCACACTCCGCCTCCCGCCATGACATTGCTTTTCATCATTAAATATTCTCAGTTCCACACATGCTTCACAGACTGGCGGTCTTTACCTAACCTAATTGTCGACTATTGCAGCGTCTGACGTCCACACCTTTCCTTTCTTAACCTGCGCCTCGGCCCAACCTGCTCCGACAGCCACACTCTTCACGTGTACTCACCTAATTGTGTTTGTGGGGGTTGAGCTCTGGCTCTTTGGTCCCGCCTCTCAACTGTCAATCAACTGATGTACAGATACCTGAGCCTACTGGGCTCTATCATATCTACATTTGAAACTGTGTATGGAGTCAGCCTCCACCACATCACTTCCTAGTGCATTCCATTTATTAACTACTCTGACACTGAAAAAATTCTTTCTAACGTCTCTGTGGCTCATCTGGGTACTAAGTTTCCACGTGTGTCATCTAGTTAATGCTTCTTGGTTTCCTCCATCCACTACTGTTTTACTGAGTTTCTCTCTACTGCATCTTCCATGATCTAAGTTTCATATACACTTTAATTAACAGTTTTCTCTGTCATCGTATATCCCTATTAGAGGAAACGTATGTCCTTGTCAAGCCAGACGCTAGGGGCTAGCCTCATCCAAATTTGCAGGGGGGGATGGTCTGGGCTACGGGATGAACATAGGCTAGTCGGGGTATGCCTAAGGTAAATGTTTTAAGAAATATTAGAAATTATAGACACTACTAAGCCATTTTCATGGAGCTTTCCTTCTAGTCAAGTGCGAAATATTAAGTTTAATTAACTTGGAGTTGTCATAACAACATTCATTCTGGATCGGTGTTTCTCTGGTTCTTATTAATATATTATCTGAGAGAAGGGGGAACGGCGATAAGACAGATGGATACATGGATATACAGATAGATGGATATACAGATGGATGGATAGACAGACAGACAGAAGGATGGTCAGGCAAACAGACAGAGAGACGGACGGACACACAGACGTAAACTGACATAGTTACCACCGGGTACGTCCCTTAGCGCCAACTTAGTGGGGCCATATCACCCGGATTTAAAAAATTGTTGTAGGGTATTCATAATTTATTATCCTGATACATGTGAAAGGTGCTGCACCTAGGCCAAGTTTCAGCATCTCAGCCTAAATAGAGACGGAGAAAAAAAAAAAAAAAAAAAAAGACGAATT